TGTTTGTGAGACTGCCGGGATTGCAGCAGGGATGCGACCATTAACTTCCCAAGAAGCTGACTGACCGCGCTCTTGTTCGTTGTACATGAGTTCTGACCCACGGTCGCTCCCGTATACCCCTCAATCCCCAAAGCTTTCTTTAGGGTCTTCTTGCTGAGGCCCCCCCCTCCTTACTTGGAGGTTCATGATACTCACTAAACTGACTTATAGCCCACTTATAAGCCCCTTCCTAATATGGTTTTCAGTACAGCTATAGGTACAGTTTTAATTGCTGAATAAGTACCATGAACCTGCAAGTACTGCCTTCACCAGCAGGAAGTTCAAGTTCTGGGCGATCGCGCCAAAACCGTCAGCGTGTCCGCCACTTTGCGCCGCGTCGGGGTTCTGAGGGAATCCGCCAGCTCCACCTGAGTTGGGCATTTCCCAAAATAGGGGTACACCCTTGATCAAGAATCCCCTTGTTACAGGGACCCCCCAAAAAGGGCACCCCCCATTTTCGGAAGCCCCGAATTTCTCCCCACGCAGGTGCGCGTGTCTATGCGGAAACATCGTGGCAGCCAAAGGGCAGATGAGACTACGCGATGAACCCTACCGCCTGGCCTAGTCAAAAAGAAGCCGTACCTTCCCTACGTACCCTAAACCTTGAACCCGAAACCCGAAACCCGAACCCCCCCCCCCGAAACCCTATAAGGCGTAAACCCTAGTGTCACTTGCAACTCCCATAATCCCAGAAGCCTCCTACTTGAAGGGGCCAGGGGGACTCGGGCGACTGCACTTGCGAAGCTTACCCATTCCCTTCAAGGCGGTTCTCCACCTTCTAGGGATTTTAGGTTTAGGGTTTAGGGTTTATCGTTTAGGGTTTAACGTTTAGGGTCTAGGGTTTAACGTTTAGGGTTTAGGGCTTAGTGTTGAGGATTTAGGGTTTAGGGTTTAGGTTTTAGGGTTTAGGGTTTAGGGCCTAGGGCTTAGGGTTCAGGGTTCAGGGTTTAGGGTTTAGGGTTTAGGGTTTAGGGTTTTGGGTTTAGGGTTTAGGGTTTAGGGTTTAGGGTTTAGGGGTTAGGGGTTTAGGGTTTAGGGTTTAGGGGTTTAGGGTTTAGGGTTTAGGGCCGATGCTCCAACGCTTGCAGCCCTTAGCATATGGACACACACTCTGTGAAGCCCAACGACTGGGGATTTCCTCCCCCTTGACTGTGCCGTCCACATCGCCGGGGTCTGCCTCGCCACGAAGCTGTAAGGTACTGCCATCGTCCACCTTGCTCAGCTTGCTCGGGATATCCGTCCTTGGCTCTGTACTTTCACGGGCTGAGTGTCTTCTACGCAGTTGAACTGAAAACTAATTACGAGTCCCGAAACCAGTAACACATACTGGTAAATTGCGACTAATCAATGCCACGAAATAGAGTTTACTCTTCCCGAACAGAGCAAGAATCAGGGCACAGAATAGAGCTTTACCCTGAACGTCAATAAGAAAACCAGATAAGAGCACTCAAGACCCACTAAACCCTAACCCTAAATTACAAAACCCTAAACTCAGGTTCCTCCAACAATAAGAACCCCTCCCCCTACTAAGAAATACTCTCATCCATTGTATGTTGTTATTTATAATATACCGCGATAGGAATGATTGAAATTCGGGCGCAGCAGTATTCCAGGGAGGGAAATATTCAAATTCCAAAATAAGATTGTTTGTGGGGCCGGGAAGGGGAAGGGGGGGCGGTGAAATACCCTAAACCCTAAACCCCAAACCCTAAACCCCACACTTACGGGTCTCCAAAGCCCTAAACCCCAAAAGACTCTTCATTCGCATGGTAATCATGTAGTCTCTTGCTGATTCCCGAACCCGATAACCCTAAACTCTATGACCCTACAACCCAATAACTCAGCCCAATAGCCCTGTGTAACCGTATGACCCCAAAAGCCTACACAATAAACCCTATAACCCTCACTAGCCCTATAGCCCCATAACCCCATAAGCCCGTAAACGTTTTGCCCTACAAACCACACAAAAACTAACCCTAAACCCTAAACCCTAAAACCTAAACTCTCAACCCTAAACCCTAAACCCTATAAGCCTAAACTCTCAACCATGGTCTCCAAGGGAATCTTGGCGAGTCGAAGAGCAGCAGCATGCCACAGGGACTTCTTGAACTGTAGGGTTTAGGGTTTAGGGTTTAGGGTTTAGGGTTTAGGGTTTAGGGTTTGGGGTTTAGGCTTTAGGGTGTAGGGTTTAGGGCTTAGGGCTTAGGGTTTTAAGGCTTAGGGTTTAGGGTTTAAAGTTTAGGGTTTAGGGTTCGGGCTTAAATCGTCCACTCTAGGCCCGAGAGACATCCAGCAAACTGGAAGTACCCTAAACCCTAAACCTAAACTGCCCTCTGTCCTCTCCTTCAACAGCCTAGGATTCTCAATTCTTGTTTCGAATTTGCACTCTGCGTTTCTTCATTCAGGGAATTTTGGGGACCCTAGAGCTGATATGTCGTACAGTCGGGGCATGCACGGCATTTTGTCATCCGGAACCCTGAAGTAACGGCACAATTCAGCCTGAGAGGCAACTTGAAGGACCAGGAGGTCCACCAAGCACCCGAAATCACAAGCAGAAGGCGGCAGCGCGTGAAGGAAAACATCGCGGGAGAAAGGTGCCTGAGATGGGACTGGGGTGCGGCTGACATAGTAACGTAATACGCGGTACACGAAGAGTACAATGTGATTTTGTGGGGGTTCTCATTTCCTATGAAGCATTGCCGAGTTGCCTTTGCCGGGTTCTTATGTTCCTTGTCTCCCTTTGTATCCCTTTCTCTCGCTTCTGTTTGGGGTCTTCGGCGGTGTAGTGATTATGGGCTGGATGATGTGGGTTTAGACATTAAGTTCGCAGTCTGTGGTCTTGAGAACCTATGAGATCATGACTAGGTGAACATGGAGGTCCTCGTACATTCTTGCCAGACATAAACCTAAACCCGAAACACATCATCCTCATCATCGTCCCTCTCACCTCGACTCCCCCATCTTCCATCTTCCGCATGCAGAGGCAAGACGGCCCCACAAGCAAACCCCTCAACCCGGAATCAACACTGATTTTAAAGCTTAAAGCCACAATGCTACCAGATCTTGCCCTGGCACAAGCGAAAGCTCGCAATCCCAGCGATCTACAATTGCTACATTAAGCATGAAGTTTTGGAGAAAGACGGCTGCGCGGATGAGCTGGTCACAATCCTGAACTCAAACAGGCTGCCTGCGCGCTGGTTGTCTCTACAGGGGTTGCCTAAGAGTTACGGCGCGAAATGACATGGAACAGATATTGCATGGGCAACAGAAGTGGAAACCATGATGCAGTGACTAAAGTTAATCCGAGGGTTGCTGAGGTGCCCCCTGATCACTGCACTCAGGTAAACCCTAAGCCCCCCTGAGCACCTCAACCACAACCCCTAAGCCTCGAAACCCACAACCATGCCTGAACCGTGAAAACCCCATGAGGCCGGGAAGCTAGTCGAAGTCATCTCCCACTACAAGTGCATCATACTGTCTTGGGTCTTTTTCAACATGGGGGGGAGGGCCCCAAGGGTCGATTTAATGGGAATTAAGGGTTATGGGTAGCTTTGGGGGTCCATCCTGAATCCTCATGGTGCTATGTCCCTAAACCCTAAACCCCAAACCCTAAACCCTAAATAACCCTAAACCCCAAACCCTAAACCCTAAACCCTAAATAACCCTAAATCGCAGCAGCCCAACCACCCGAAAACCCTAAGTTCCTGAATGCGAGTCCCGGGCCTAAGGTTGGAAGCTCGGTGGCCTGAGTTGGGTATGAGATGGATGCCATGGTTTAGGGTTTAGGGTTTAGGGTTTAGGGTTTAGGGTTTAGGGTTTAGGGTTTAGGGTTTAGGGTTTAGGGTTTAGGGTTTAGGGTTTAGGGTTTCGGTTTTAGGGTTTAGGGTTTAGGGTTTAGGGTTTAGGGTTTAGGGTTTAGGGTTTAGGGTTTAGGGTTTAGGGTTTAGGGTTTAGGGTTTAGGGTTTAGGGTTTAGGGCTGCATCCACCTGGCCTACGGATAAGTGGCATGCTGGCCTTTCAGTTCGAAGATCCAGGAGCCCCAAAAACGCGAGCCGGCTCCGTTTTCGGGTGCTGCGCGAGGGGCGCTTCACATAACGCAAGCAGAAGCGGCGCAACGCGAGGTCCTGGCGGACGCTTCCGTGCGAGTCTTCTGGTGGGAGGCTCGGGCATGAGGATGGTTTGGGGTTTAGGGTTTAGGGTTTAGGGTTTAGGGTTTAGGGTTCAGGGTTCAGGGTTCAGGGTTCAGGGTTCAGGGTTCAGGGTTCAGGGTTCAGGGTTCAGGGTTCAGGGTTCAGGGTTCAGGGTTCAGGGTTCGGAAGCCAGGACTGCAAGGGGCTCACACAAGCGAAGTCTACCGCACTCGTGGCATCAGGACAAGAGTTTAACAGGCCGACGCAAAATGGATTATCCAGCTTTCGGAATTCGTTTCCATCCGATCTGCAAGCATTGCTTACGAGTCCTGCCGCCATGAATGCGGCAACATTCGCCGGGTCAGGGTCCTCGATTCGGGGCGGCGTCGACATGGCAATCATCGGCCGAGCCCAATGAAGACATCCGTCCCCAGCTGAAGGCCACCCTACTTGCTGATTTGTTGGCTCCGTTTCTAACGAGGTGTTGCCAAAGCACCCGCCCTGCCTGTAGCTTTGCATAACGTGGCAAAACATGGCAAAACACATTCCGATCATGCCCTCGCCACGCTTTTTGTCTGTAGCGCTTCTGAAGTTTGGAGAGATGGGGAAGGAAACCTTGTCCTTAAAGGCACCAGGGTAAAACCCTTCCCGAAGAGAAATCCGAGTGCCCTTCGGCACCGAATCTGTGTCACTGGCCCAGCTACATTATCCTGCATTCAGCGCAGGGCTGCACCGGGAATTTCGTCGCCGGAGTCGTCAACTTAAGGCCACGGCAACTTGAAAAACTGAGCAACTCTTTACAAGTCCTTGAACCTGTCAAGCTTCGGGCGCTAGATAGATTGAACGTGTTCCATGGCTTCCGTGGCTTCCGGACTCTGGTACTCGCATGGATCTCCGGGAGGTGCAGGAACCAGTGGCCTGCCCAGATTCAGAGGGAAATGACCTGGTACTTGGGGAGGAAACGAGGAATCCATGCAGCAAAGCCCCAAAATCCTTCAATCCTCAGCATACTTTCCCCGAGAAGAGTCTCCTGTGGGCCTCTTGACAAGGGACGGTACGACGTTCACTGCCACGACAAGCTCCTGGGATCAATGAAAAGGGGGCCTCAAGAGTTCTGGGTTTGAGCATTAGGGTTTCCAGCCTGACTAGGGTGGAGAGCTGCACCACAACGATCACCAAAGGCGGTCGCTGAATTTAAGTGGACAGAGCAACCCTCATGCACCTTTGCCGCCCGCCCCCGCCCCCCCCACCCCCCCACCCCACCCCCGCAGAAATCTGGACCCTCAGCATTTTACTTTTGCCGGGGTCAAGCTTGAACACCTGATAGCCGTGCACTTCTGGGCTTCCCCAAAACCAAATTCCCAAAAGACGCGCAGAACTTCCGAGCCCCCAAAAGAAACAAATTCTGAAAGCTTGCTCCCACCTTCGTCGCGGCCTCCTCACGAGGGGCTTCGTGAGCATCTGGGCCCTCGGCATCATGCATCTCACCGCCGTGACACTTGCAGAAGGACTCGTCCTCCTCCGATAAATCCATGATTGCTGGTACTTTGTAACTGCCCGCCTGCATAAAAATCATAAAAGCTCAACCCCAACACCCCGCCTTCTCTGCAACCTCGGCATTCTGGCCCGCATTGCTGCGCTCCTGGAGGCGAAGTTCGGCGCATGGAGGCTCAATTAGACCCCACTGCAATCCTGAGCAAAACGGCCTGGAATGTTCATGTCTTCGGTTTTGCTGATCAACTCAGGAGGTGTCCTGGCAGAACTCAGGAGGTGTGATTTCTTCGAGGTCCAGGTCACATAGCTGCACGGCATAGCCTGCAACCGCGGCAGGCCACCAAAGCTAGCGATTCCCGATGCCAACCTCTGGAACACTTTCGTGGTGACTTCTCTATAAGGCTAAGCCGCACATCATAAGGGCGGTCTCAAAAAAAAATCGATCATAACATATAGTTGCATCATAATCCCGGAAGCATTGCAGGGACAGAAAAGAAGAAAAAACAAAAAAAAAAAACATCAAGTCCAACCATTGCCAGGTTATTGCTTGCATGTCGGAGCCTGAGAACAGGATCGTGCCGAGAAGGAGGCTGCCAAACTGCACGAGTAGCTGGATTGCCGTCTGGGCTGCAAAGAACATAGAATACGCAGTAACGCAGGCACAGAAGAAGGACTCCGAGCGTTTTTCTTCCTTAGCTGTGACGACACCATCCAACGGCAGTGGTGCATGAAACGCAAGCGGTATAAGCGGTTGCCAGACCCCCGCCCCCCCGCACCGAACCCCACCCTACCAATAGCCAAGACAGACGGGGCCTGCGCAAGCTAACCGCAGGAACCCCAAGACCTGGAATCTTCAGTCTTCGATTGGGCGTCTTGAGCTCAAGACACCTCAAGATGTTCCTAGATGTGGATCTTTGGGGGAGGGTGTGCATACATACATACATACATACATACATACATACATACATACATACATACATACATACATACATACATACATACATACATACATACATACATGTTGCCACGACACTTCTGTTTTGGAGTGCACGCTCCAAGACCCGCACCGAGCCACTTCGAGAAAGTCCAGGAGGTCCTTCCGCAGGAGGCCCCGGTCCACGCTTCTTTGGACTGCCTGCAATTGTTGCAGGCTGCAGTTAACCGGTTTAATTTGTTGCGAGGTATAGAAATTCCGGCTTGTTTTGCAAGATGGCGTGGTGATCTCGTTTGCCAGTGTTGAACGCTGTGGCCTTGTGGGTATATGCCTGTCTTCAATGCACTCTAGGCCCAAGAGTAGTGTAGGAATAGTTGCACATCGGTTTCACTTCGTTTTCAAATGCTGGGTGCCGAGAGTTGAAACTCAAGCTTGAGGCACCAGGTCGCTGCAACACGTTCACGGGAAATGCTATGAAGGTGCAGCAACTGCCATGCACGAATACAACGCACGGACGCGAAGGCCAGGGCCTTGGACAGATGCCATGGGCTGAGGATGGACAGCTGCTTCAGGGTGCTCCGGACCACCAGAAAGGTCATGACCGCTGCGAACCAATAATGTTGTCCAGAAAGGAAGGTGAAGACGGTGTTGATGTCAAGGCCGACATCCAGCATCATAAGGGCCACATGCGTCCACAGCCCGCCGCCCTGCCAGGGCCAGTCGACTTTCTTAATGGCCGCGATTTTCCTGGGCGCGTCATGCACGTATTGCAAGTCTTCGCGACAGCAGGTTTGGAGCACGTCTCGCACCACCTGCTGCTTGATGCTTGTCTGCTCGTGCTGCGGAGGCGTGCGCCAGCACGGCCACAGGCAGCAGTCAGGAAGGATACAGCACAGCAGCCATACCAGGTAGAAGCAAAGTGAGCCCAGGAAGAAGAGCAAACAAACTCCAAAGATTCCCATTGCTGTGACGTCTTCAGGGACCCACCGGAAAAGCCAGTGATCAGACAGCCGACTTTCTCCCCACTGACTGCCTTTCGCCCCGCCCCATTCTTCGAATAGGGGATTCAGAAGAGGACTCTGCCGTGTATTTGAGCTGAAAAGGATGACGATGACGATCCCGAGTAAGATCCCGAGTAAGACCACAGCACGAATGAAGGCAGCCACCTTGAAGGGTCTTCCTAAAACAACCGGCAGCCCGCCTGGCATGCTTCTTGCAACACAATGTGTCAAATACAGTCTTGATCAAATCTTCAGCTCATTCAGGACATCGACAATTCTGGGCGCACAGCTGGCCGGCTTCCCAGCCAGCACCTGCCCAAACAAGAGAAAACTTAAGCAAAGCTGGCCTGTGCGGAGGTGCCCTTTGTCATGATGGCCAGCGCCGGGGTTCGAATGAGCTTCCGAACTCCATGGATCCCGACTGCTGGCAAAACGTAGGAGAGCACCGACAGAGGCATCCACCATGCCCAGTTCATGAACAAAAGCGCCATCCCGAGAAAACAAACTGCGGCCAGTATCTCAAGCCAGCGAAAGAGCCTCAGCAGCCACAAGCACTGAGCGAAGGCTTTGCCCACGGCCAGCTTGGCGCCGTCCAAGAACTCGAGATTCTCCGGCGACGCTCCCACCTGCCCCTTACATCGCTCGAGGCCTACGACCAGCAAGGCCGCACTTGTTGCGCCGATTAGAGCCGCCCATGTGCGCCCGTCTGCCAAGGTCTCCACAATCAGGTCCCCGACCCTGGCGCGGGATCTCAAATAGTCCTGAAGAGGTGCGGAGCGCTTTCTTCGCTAGGCGGTTGGCCACTACTGTATTGCAACTTGACTTAAGCGATGCGGCTGGCAAGGATGGTCTAGTGGAATGTCTCATGGCTTGGGACACGTTCTTCTGGGAGGGGGAGGGTTCAGGAGCTAGGCTGCGAAACCTCTTTGGCCTGTCCTTTGCTTCCTGGTCCTTCAACCGGTCTGCAAGTGCGCCATGCACGTCTCGCCAGATGGCCTTGCCATCGCAATTGTCCAGCCAAAGCTCCAGGTGCCACTTCGAAAGCCTAACTGCATTGAAGCACTTCAGGTCTGCTGCAGCCTCGTTGAAGGACTGAATCTCCACTTTCGAACCGTTGCAGGCCATTTCCACCATGAGCCTGCAGTCGAGTCCTTGGGCCTTCCACCCATCAGGCCACTCCTGCAGGAGGAGCCGCAACACCTCAACGCTATCAGCAAATTGAAAAACTGTCCAGCGGTAAGTAGTAAGAAGCTTCAGCCCTGCCGGCCACTCCTGCAGGAGGAGTCGAACCAGCTCCACGCTGCCGGACCGGGCTGCACAGTGAAAAACCGTCTCGTCGTTCAGATCCACAAGCTTCAGCCCTTCCGGCCACTCCTGCAGGAGGAGTTGAACCAGCTCCACGCTGCCGGACTGGGCTGCATAGTGAAAAACCGTCATGTCGTTCAGATCCACAAGCTTCAACCCTTCCGGCCACTTCTCCAGCAGAACCTGCGCGACCGGCACGCTGCCGTTCAAGCAGGCGCGGTGCAGCGGCACCTGCCCGCGATAATCTCTCTCTTGTGCACCTGCAGGCCACGCGGCGAGCAGTCGCTGCACGATCTCCATGTGGCCCTGGCCGGCGGCCTCATGAAACACTGTAGTCCAACGCCACGGATCATCAGGAGGAGCAAACTTCATGTCATCGGCACCAAAGCGTCCGCTGGCAAGCGCCTGCTGGACTGCGTCTGCATCGCCGCTGCTCACAGCCGCGACCAGCTCGTTCGCGCCGGCCACCGCGGTCACGGCGCAGAGCCATAGCGCCCCCCAGAGATACATATCCACTACTTCGCAGTTTGGGCTGATGGGCAAAGTAAGGCAACGAGGAAAACACAAATCCGTACATCGAAGAGGCTCTGCCACTCTCACTCAGGCTGTCACATTCCCACTTCAACGGTTTTGGTGCTGCAAGTCTGCACGCCAGCCTATCCGACATTAAAGCAAAGCTCCTCAAGATGCATAGCTGCATAACTCATCCACTTCCTCATGAATCGTGGGCTCCTCTGGAAGTCCCGGTAGCGCCCATTGTTTTGCGCAAGCACGCTCCTGCAGTCTTCTTCTTGAATGGAAAAGTGCAGTAGGCGCCGCTGGGAGAGGGACCATCCTGGAAAGCAACTTTTTCTGTCTGGGGTCGTTGATCCAGGCTTGAAGGTATTGGGCGTCTGGGAGGGACTTAGAAGAGGCTTAGACTGAAACTGCGCCGGAAAGGAGTTGGAGTGAGGGCGGCACATGCGAAGAGCTTCAGGGTTGAATCTCACTGCAGTGCTCCCCCAGGACCCCTACGACACCAACCTGGACAAGCCTTGGCCTGGGGTTCTGGGCCTGTAAGGTGCCTGGAACGCGGCATGTTCAACGGACCAAAGGCGGGGGGCCCTTGTAGGGTTATGGGGGCCAAATCGGGGGCTACTTGGATATGTTGGGACTACATAGGGTATGCATGGAGGCTTTCTCATATCGAGATGGCCAGGGTTTTGAGGCTCAGGGCTGCAATTATTTTTTGCCACGCACGATGAGATTAGCCCCCAAACCCGAAACTTCAAAAACTCTGTTCTACGGAGATCGGCACTTGATGAAAAAGTGCTTTCACCGACAGCCAAGCAATGCCTTCCAGTGTTCGGCGGTTTAAGGTTTAGGGCGTAGGATATATAAGGGTTCGGGGTGCTTTGAAGGATGTTTCAGTTCCACAGTTGCAAGCCCAGCCCGTGTTCGCATACAAAACGAAAAGCAAGCTGCAGGCAACCTTTGTTTTATCTAGGGCTGCTGCGGGTGAGAGTCCGCGCACTGTTCTCGAGGCAGGCGCACCACGAGGGTTTCCAAGAAGCTTGCAGGAGTCTTCTGGCTCGTAGAAGGTTTAGGGCTTCTGGGGGTCAAGGCTTGTGCGGCACTACCTGCCATTTACCAGTTGATTGTATAAGGAACTTATAACTTAAGCTATCATACTCAGGAAGCCCCATCCTTTATTATATCATTTAAGTTATCATAATCAGGAAGCCCCATCATTTGCTACAACTTAAGTTATCATAATCAGGAAGCCCTGCAGCAGTATGGCAGTTAGCACGGGGCTTAGAAGGACTGGCATGTGGCGCAGGAACGCCATCAGAGAATGCAGACATGCGTGGCCACTGGCAACGGAGTCCGAAGGTTGGGCCCCACCTTTGCGCCCTGACTTAGCAGCATTGCGCTCATAATGCGCAGCCGAGTACCACAACAGGATTGGGGACCCCTGCTTCCCTGAACGATTGCAAACCTGCAGGGGCATGACATCGGCATGTAAGTCGGCCTGTCGAGGTGCTTGGCAGCATGGATTTCGCGAAGGGACGTGTCGGTGAAGTACTGCTCCCGGTCATGGGAACGTCCTCTTTTGCATGGAGCCACTTCCAGTAGCCCTTGTAGTGCTCACCATGGCAGTCCTAAGAGCAAGCTTGTGTTGGCAGGCGGGGCCTGCAAGACAGCAGGACAGGCAATCACCGTTGCCCGGGTTGGACTGTCGCTTGACACCTGCATTTTCGCAGCAGCCTGTTGGGGGCGGTGGCCGCGAAGAATCTTGCGCACTCTCAGTGGTCTGCGACTGGCTCTCAGGGACCGGGGCTGGGAGCGGGGCCATCTTATCGGACGAAGTCGAAGTCAGAGTAGCCGCTATGGCCCCTAGTCCAGCTGAGTTTGAAGCACAACCTGAATGGAACCTTCCTCGTGCTCGATCACTGCAAGGTCAAGGTTATCAACCCTGGCCCTATAGAAGAACTTCACTCCACCCCAAACCCTGAACCCTCCCTAAACTCCCTAAACCTTATAACCTCCAACAATGTGGCAACGCCCTAGACCCAAGGCTTTGCGGCTTGGCGTGAATGCTTTAGATGTCATGTTTCCTGGGTTACGACACGTATGACGGTTTAGGGTTTAGGGTTTAGGAGGAACTAAAAGGCGAACTTGCAGGGTTTGCTGGTCTCTTGCGCCGAGGCTCTGAACCCTACGAGCCACTCTGTGAGGCTGGGGAAACGGCGAGCCGAAACCCCCAAAAGGGCGTCAGGGTTGAAGCCGGTTTGAGCTTCGGTGCTCATTTAGGGTTTGGGCGTAGGGCTTAGGGCAATTTAGGGTTAAGGCTCATGATATGGGATGGCTCCACAATGTCACAGCCCTGCTATAGAAGCCATCTCTTGTTTGAGGTCGGATAGCAAGCTGAACTCGACGCCATAAGTTGATGCATTCCCGACAATCCCTCTTTAAACGAGCCTGTAGAACAACAACCCAAAAGCCTAAACCCAAAACCTTACATCAAAAACAGCCCCCACACATCACCAAACCCCACCGGTCCTTGGAAGAAACACTGGGTAGTGTGCAAGACGAACATGGCAACGTGTTGCGGCAAGGAGCTAAACCCGAAATCCCGAACCCCAAACCCCCGAATCTACACCCAGAATCCTACATCCTAAACCCTAAACCCTAAACTTACTTATCATTTGGGACCCAAAAGACGAAACCTTAATCCGGGCTCTTGTTCAGGAACTTATAACTTAAGTTACCATACTAAGGAAACCCCTAAATGTACTGGAGATCCCTGTTGTGGCAACTCAAACTAAGTTCCTGAACAAGAGCCCAGTAACTTGGACAACCACTCCTATGAACCCACCAGCCCCAAGCAAAAAACCTCCATAGAGCCTCTCACAGAGGTCTCGCCTCAAGTTCTCCTAGGCCGTTAGTCTAACCCTTAAAGGGTTTAGGGTTTAGGGTTTAGGGTTTAGGGTTTAGGGTTTAGGGTTTAGGGTTTAGGGTTTAGGGTTTAGGGTTTAGGGTTTAGGGTTTAGGGTTTAGGGTTTAGGGTTTAGGGTTTAGGGTTTAGGATTTAGGTTTTAGGGTTTAGGGTTTAGGGTTTAGGGTTTAGGGTTTAGGGTTTAGGGTTTAGGGTTTAGGGTTTAGGGTTTAGGGTTTAGGGTTTAGGGTTTAGGGTTTAGGGTTTAGGGTTTAGGGTTTAGGGTACCCCTAAACCCTAAACCCAGAGTATTCGGTTCTCGCAGGTCAAGGCATCGACCTGGGTGTTTTAGGCTTAAGGCTTTAGCCTGAATTACGATGAACTGGCAAAGGCCCTAAGCCCTAAGCCCTAAACTCAAAAAATCTCCGCCAGCCCCTTTTGTTCACAAACAGGCTGGTGAAACTTGCTGTGCCCGGCCCCCTGTTTTAGGGTTGAGGGATTTGAGGTTTAGGGTTTAGTGAGACCAAGGGAACACTCCCTGAGGTTTAAATCGTGAACTCGTCGAATGCGTGTAAGCTCCGGTACGTGCCATCACTGGAGGACTGTCGCCCACCTCCTGGCCACAAAGCTCTGAATCCGTATGTGGGCGCCTGACTAGATTTGAAATCGACACCCCAAACCCTAAATGCTGGACCCAGGGCCACAGCCCGGATCCCCCTAGGCCTGAAACTTAAGCCCCTGCAATCTGAAACCTCAACCCTTAACGGTTTGCGAAGACTTAGGGTTTAGGGTTTAGGGTTTACGGGAAGACCCTGATCATCAGGCCATTTCGCACGACTTGGGCCAAGAATCAACGGTAAGACATGAGGGTTGAGGATTTAGGGAGAGGGTCATGGTTTCGAGTGGGAGCCCTTAGACCCTAAACCCGAATCCCGCTAAACCCTAAACCCTATACGTCCCCTATACTTGGTTCAGCTCAGACTTCTTGAACAGGCCGGGGTGACGATCCCTGCCGAAGAGGCATTGGTGCTGCAACACCAGGAACACCAAGAGGGCCAAGAGGGGCAGCAGGCCAATGAGGCCGTGCTGGACTGAGAGGTAGACGAGCCCAAAGACCCATCCGCTGCAGAAGTAGCCGTAGCTTAAGCTCACAATAGCACCTCAAACTGTCACAACTGTACTTGTCTACAGACTCACAGGATCAACACTGAACAGATGACCAGCATAAGTGTAAATGAAAAAATCCCTACATGTCTACCGGCACCCAATAGCTGATAACTGGGCCAGTTTAGGGTTTAGGGTTTAGGGTTTAGGGTTTAGGGTTTAGGGTTTAGGATTTTCTTACATAGACAATGAGCTTGCATGCAGGTGGCCTTATAGTCAGAGCAGGGGTTCGGGGTAGAACATAGTGTGTATATATATATATACACAAAAACTCAGTAACCCTGAGGACTATGTTCGCAACTAGCTATCAAATAGCAAGATTTCTTATTCAGGATTGAGACTCCAATCCCTAAGCCCTAAACCCTTGCTCAGGAAAGCCAGATGAAGGCACTGATGATTGCCAAGATGAACTGCAAACACTCGTGCTGGACAGAGAAAGCTCGCTTTAGCATCCGAAGATAAACCTGGCGCCAGGGACATCCTAAATTTAGGAGCTTGTGGGTTGTTTGGAGGGGTTCGGGCTCGGTCTTAGTGTCGGATCGATAGTGTTGTAAGCCGTCACTCTAAACAAAAACGCTTCTGGAATGTTGGGTGCCAGGAGCTGGGTAGAAGGTGGGAAAAACCAGGAAAATGTCCACGAGCCAAGTCGCCGTGCTGGCCCCCATGTACGAGAAAAAAGTGTCGAATCCATTATCGGCTACGCATGCCTCATCACATTGGAGAATGTCCACGCAGGAATAGAATGTTATTGGCAGTCCAGCGAGCAGGCACCACCCATGTGGAAGATGTAGCTTGGCTCCGACATTTTCCAGGACGACCGAACGGAGTGGACCTTGAACATAACCATTGAAAGCATCCAGCGACCTGTCATCAATTTGATCCACCTCACTCGAATGTGATGAACTGCTGGCGAATGATGCCATGTGGTTTGCTTCCTGCTTCCCGGGTGCTCGGAATAGATGCTGGACCTGCTGCTGCACGAGTGGCCGATCGGCTGGCTCTGTACACTGTGCAGCCCGGCAATCAAAATTCGCCATTTGGTCCAACATCCTGGGTTCTTGTCAAGGACTTATTTTCAATTACCATTATAGGGAAACCATATTCTTTGCTATAGATCCCTTTTATGATAGCTTAAACTAGATTCCTTAACAAAAACCCAGCGTCAGCTCGTGGCTTCGCAACTTGGCTTTGCAAGCGATGGCCCAGGGGATCGATGCAGGCAAGCACATCATGGAGCCAAAGAGCGTAATCGTGATCACCTGGGTGACGAGCCCTGAAAGAGCCTCTGGAATCGATCCTTGAACCGCTAAGGCCAGGGAGAAGAGAAAGTCACCAAGTCCATACCACAGGAAGTGGTAACCGGTGGCAGCGCCGAGGTTGATAAGAAGCGCAGACAGCAGCCACGGGGCCAACCAAAGGGGAAAGATATAAACCTGCATCAGGAATGCTACCCAAAAATCTGTATTGTAATACCTTCTTGTGGATGGCTTGTTGCATGCTTCGCTAGTGGTCAGTTCCCTGGCAGTGAGGCTTATACGGTAGACAAGAAACAACGTTTCGGAGTCGTGATTGAAATTTAACCCGACTTGCACTACCCACCGCTTCTGACGAGTACTTTTTTCTGATGAACTGATGAATTGGAAGTTTCAGAAAACAACAGACCATTGGTACAAACCCTCAAAAAGTAATCGGAACCTTCATATATATATATATATATATATATATATATGTGAGAGGGGCCTTTGGGGTCTATTTGGACACAATACATTAATTCATTTAATTCATTTAATTCTGCAGCCATGTCGCCCCGAATTAAATGAATTAAATGAATTAATTAGTTAATTCATTTAATTCATTTAATTCTCCAGGCAAGGCCCCGAATTAAATGAATTAAATGAATTAATTAATTAATTCATTTAATTCATTTAATTCTCCCGGCAAGGCCCCGAATTAAATGAATGAAATGAATTAATTAATTAATTCATTTAATTCATTTAATACATTTAATTCTGTAAATGGCCTGAGATCTCCCGCTCGATTTAGTTCATTTAATTCATTTAATTCTCCAGGCAAGGCCCCGAATTAAATGAATTAAATGAATTAATTAATTAATTCATTTAATTCATTTAATTCTCCGGGCAAGGCCCCGAATTAAATGAATTAAATGAATTAAATCGGGCCCCTCTTATCCGAGATCCCAGGCTATTTAAAGAATTAAATGAATTAAATGAATTAAATGATTAAATGAATTAAATGAATTAATTAATTAATTCATGTAATGTATTAAATTCTCCAGGCAAGGCCCCGAATTAAATGAATTAAATGAATTAATTAATTAATTCATTTAATTCATTTAATTCTCCCGGCAAGGCCCCGAATTAAATGAATTAAATGAATTAATTAATTAATTCATTTAATTCATTTAATTCATTTAATTCATTTAATTCATTTAATACATTTAATTCTGTAAATGGCCTGAGATCTCCCGTCCAGAGGCTCGATTTAATTCATTTAATTCATTTAATTCTCCAGGCAAGGCCCCGAATTAAATGAATTAAATGAATTAATTAATTGATTCATTTAATTCATTTAATTCTCCGGGCAAGGCCCCGAATTAAATGAATTAAATGAATTAAATCGGGCCCCTCTTATCCGAGATCCCAGGCTATTTAAAGAATTAAATGAATTAAATGAATTAAATGAATTAAATGAATTAATTAATTAATTCATTTAATTCATTTAATTCTCCAGGCAAGGCCCAGAATTAAATGAATTAAATGAATTAATTAATTAATTCATTTAATTCATTTAATTCTCCCGGCAAGGCCCCGAATTAAATGAATTAAATGAATTAATTAATTAATTCATTTAATTCATTTAATTCATTTAATTCATGTAATTCATTTAATTCATTTAATTCATTTAATTCATTTAATTCATTTAATTCTGTAAATGGCCTGAGATCTCCCGTCCAGAGGCTCGATTTAATTCATTTAATTCATATAATTCTCCAGGCAAGGCCCCGAATTAAATGAATTAAAAAAAAATAAATTAATTAATTCATTTAATTCATTTAATTATCCGGGCAAGGCCCCGAATTAAATGAATTAAGTGAATTAATTAATTAATTCATTTAATTAATTTAATGCTCCAGGCAAGGCCCCGAATTAAATGAATTAAATGAATTAATTGATTAATTCATTTAATTCGTTTAATTCTCCGGGCAAGGCCCTGAATTAAATGAATTAAATGAATGAAATGAACGAAATGAATGAATTAATTCCTTCATTTAACTCATTTAATTCTCCGGCCCAGGCCCGGAATTAAATCAATTAAACGAATTAAAACGGCCCCCCTAGGCAATGCCCCTGCATCATTTGGGATTTGCTTTACTTATCCCTTCGATTTCCCTCAGACTTCCCCTTAATAAATTCCCTTTACTTTTTATCATTGTTTCATTTTAGCGGTGCGGTTTATATTTGGTAAGGTCACATAGCTATTGTACGCGCAGTGAGTGATAAATAAACTTAGTTCTTTAGGACCTGGTGCGCGTTGTGTACCTTTTCATTCATGCAACTTAATAATCTCAGCACAGAAAAAAAATAAATGAGTTACATCTGGCCTGCTTTTGAACACATCACATAGCTGTGCCTCACACAATAAAGTGCGCACCTATTGACAAACGGCCTTTTTAAGGGGATTTGTTCCCTCTAAAAGCCTGGTGTAAGGGACGTCCGATTTCCCTCAAATTCCCTTTCATTTTCCCTTAGACCTCATGCGATTCTGGTGACTGCTGTAAAAATCCCCTAAACCATTCCCTTTACACCCTTCAAAAAAAGTGAACGACAGAGCTCCTCTGCCTCTTGCGAAGGAGCTCTTCTGCCTTTTGAAAACTCACAAAGCTCCTTTACCTCTAGCAAAGAAATGGTAGAGCTCCTCGATCTCTGTCTTTTACATGGTATAGAGCTTGGCTCCAGAAAACGCTATATCTCTCCGCAGGAAATGAGAACGTTCTCTACCTACCTCTTGTGAAAGAGCTCCTCTCCTCGTAATCAAAACTTGGAAAACTCGTTTCGCTCTTCCTAGGGAGCGAGCAAGCTCGTGTTTCATCTTTTTCAGAAAGAGCGCCCGTATCATGGTCACGAGAGACCTCCTCTATATATGTGAGAGAAGGGGCCTTTGGAGTCTATTTGGCCACAAGAGATTATTTCATTTAATTCATGTAATTCTCCGGCCAAGGCCCCGAATTAAATGAATAAAATGAATTAATTAAGTAATTCATTTAATTCATTTAATTCTTTAAATGGGCTGGGATCTCTGAGACGGGGGGCCCGATTTAATTCATTTAATTTATTTAGTTTTTGTAATTCATTTAATTCATTTAGTTCATGAAAATTCTCCGGCCAAGGCCCCGAATTAAATGAATTAACTGAATTAATTATTTAATTCATTTAATTCTCCGGCCAAGGCCCCGAATTACATGAATTTAATTAATTAATTAATTAATTAATTCATTTAATTCATTTAATTCATTTAATTCTCCGGCCAAGGCCCCGAATTAAATGAAATAAATGAATTAGTTATTTAATTCATTTAATTCTCCGGCCAAGGCCCCGAATTAAATGAATTAAAATTAATTAAATCAGGCATCCTTCTCCGAGATCCCAGGCCATTTAAAGAATTAAATGAAGTAATTAATTTATTCATGTAATTCATTTAATTCTCCGGCCAAGGCCCCGAATTAAATTAATTAAATGAATTAATTAAACAATTCATTTAATTCATTTAATTCATTTAATTGATTTAATTCTTTAAATGGCTTGTGATCTCTGATACGGGGGGCCCGATTTAATTCCTTTAATTCATTTTATTCTCAGGACAAGGCCCCGAATTAAATGAGTCCCATGAATTAAAGCGTGCCCCTTCTCAGAGATCCCAGGCCATTTAAAGAAATTCATTTACTTCCTTAAATGGCCTGAGATCTTCGAGACAGGGGCCCGACACGGGAGACGGCCTCTCTCTCTCGGCATAGGAACCGAAAGAGCCTCGCTTTTTTTAAAAAAGAGACCGCAATCCGAGGAGCTTTCTCATGCTTGCTTCGTAGAGCTCCTCTATCTCTTGTGAGACAGCTCCTCTATCTGTTGGTTGATAGGAAACTCATTCTCTTGTTAAGAAGTTCTTCTTTATTCGCGTGGAACATGAAGGACCTCCTGTTTCTCTGAAAGAGCCCCCCCCCCCCCCCGTAGCTTCTCATTCCATTTCAAGGATATTGGGGCATCACTATTTCTTAGGAGCGCTGTCATTTCTTTCTGATGTCCACTTAACAAGGCACAGATAAAGACCCTCTCTCGTTTCCTATGAGGGCCTAGAGCTGTCTCATGTCTCTTAACGAAACTTAGAAACAGGAAGCCCTTCATGGTTTAGTACAAAGTAGAGCAGCTGAGTCATGTCCGATTAAGAGGAGCGCCTTCAGTTTCTATTCATAGGAAGAGACAGGGGCTCACTTCTTCAAGCAGAAGAAAGGCTCTTTCGTAAGAGGCAACGGAGCTCTGCGATTTTCTAACAGGGAGGCAAGGGCGAGAGCCCCCCGCCCCCGCTCATGACTTGTTGACGAGAAGAGAAGATAGAAGAACTTGCTTTTTCATCGGGCTCTGTCACAAGAGGTAGGTACGTAGAGAACGTTCTCATTTCCTGCGAAGAGATATAGCGATTTCTGGAGCCAAGCTCTATGCCATGTAACAGACAGAGATCGAGGAGCTCCACCGTTTCGTTTCCAGAGAAAAGGCAGAAGAGCTCCTTCGCAAGAGGCAGAGTGGCTCTGTCGTTCAACTTTTTGAAGAGTGTATGAAGAGACACATCAATTCTTTGAGTTCTTTCGAGACTTCGCTACAGAGGAGCTCTTTCGTAGCAGGCAGGGGAGCCCTGTCATGTCTTGAAAAATTTAGAGGGGGCTCTTCATGTCTCACTAAACGATCGCAGAGCCACCTCAAACAAAGACGCAGGAGCTCTTCTTGCCCTTGAAGAGCTCAAAGAGTATCTTCTAGTGGAACATGAAGGACCTCTTTCTCTGATGAATGAGCCCCTCCATCCTTTACAGGAAACGAAAGCGCTTTTTTGCCCAGTAGCTGCCTCATTCCATTTTCAAAGGTAATGTGGCGTCAGAATTTCTTTGAAGCGCTGTCATGTCCTAGAAAGATAGATGTGCCTTATTGTCAGCAACTGCTTGTTTCTCCCCCCCCCAATACAGCAACAAGCAAACTCTATTCATTGCATCGCCCTTGTGCTCGCTTCTTTTTAACACTGGCTCGAACTCGGCTGCATTTCCTCATCATCGAAAGCCTTTCGCTTTCACGGTTTCTCTTCTCGAGAGTAGGCTCAACTAGTGGGTGAGTAACGAAGCACGCTGCACCCAGTGCAGCCTTCTTCCTCAACA